GTTCCAAGACCCCAGTGGATGCCTGGCACCATGGATAATACCAATCCTTACACAGCTGTGTGTCACTAACAATAAGATACATTGTGAGAAATGCAGTGTTAAGCGATTTCATCTTGTGAGAAGAACACGGAGCTCACTTACACAAACCTAGGCCATACTTTAATGTGACTGGCAGTGTAAGAGGTTTATTTACACCAGCAATACCATCAGTTTACGCCAGTTCACACCATCACCACTAACACATGAATAATGTCTTGCACTAGAACTTAATGTCAGCTACTACCTCTCTAGCAATAGGAAGGTTTCAGCCAAGGTACAATCTTTTAAGTCACTGGTCTATATGTAGTCTGTCATTTAGAGAAAGCTCATTATGTGGTGCATGACTACACATACTATGTTTTTTCCTATACATACATATCTATGATAAAATTTAATTTATAAATTAGGCACAGTAAGAGATTAAGAACAATAACTAATAATAAAATAGCACAATTATAACAATGTATTGCAATAAAAATTGTGAGCATGGGGTCTCTCTCTCTCTCTCTCTCTCTCTCTCTCTCTCTCTCTCTCTCTCCTTATTGGGAGGAATCCAGAGAAAAGCCCACGCAGACATGGGGAGAAGGTGCAAATTCCACAGACAGTGGCACAGTGGGGAACTGATTTTTTTTTCCTCATCAACATTATAACCAAATGCCATTACTCAAGGACATGCTGTTAAGCGTGGATACAGTGGACAAAGGAATGATTCACATCCCAGGCAGCTTGGAGCAGGAGGCATGAGATTCCATCCCATACTTGGAATGGCAAGCAATTCAAAACTTAAGAATTGTTTATTTCTGGAGTTTTCTACATAATATTCTCAGATCAAGGTGAACCATGGGTAACTGAAAGCATATAAAACAAAGCCTAGGATAAGGAGAGACTACTGTATGCCCTTATCTGTCTCCACAACAAGGGTCTATTCTTCAGGTGAAAGACCTTGCCAATGGCATTCCTCACAGTCCAGAACCTTCTAGCCTTCCTCTCTCAACTGGAGTGGGGGATAGAGAAAACTAATAAACATGCAGCAAGGTCAGAGCCGGAGACACAAAAATGTAACTATGAAACCATACAACACTCCCCTCCCTTTACCAACATTATCAACAGGCCTCCAGTATAATAACAGGGGATTGCAGCAAAAAGAGATGAAAACACAGACTCAGTTCTTAGAGAAGCCCACAGACAGCAGTAAGGACACCAGATAAATGTGATGCCTCTGGTAACAGCCCAACTCCTAGCCAGACTAAAATTAAACCTCACCCTACGCCCATTTACCTCAGTTCCTATTACCCACACATCAGGTCACTTTTAATAAAACATCCCACAGCATGCTAACTAACGACAAGAAAACAGAGGCAGGGAGATCAGGACACACACTTTAAATGATAATCCGATGAAAGATGAAGTTGGCTCGGGCCATGGTAGCAGTGGAAGTGGTGGAAAGTGGTCAAGATCGGAGGTATTCTGAAGACAGCAGAGGTGAATTGCTAATGAAATGGAGGTAGAATGTGAAAGACAAAGTGGAGGCAGGGATGACTCCACGGTGTGGACCAGCGCTGCAGGGAAAATGGAGCTGCCTTCAACTGAGATAGTAAAGGCTTCAAGTAAAACAGGTGGCTGGAGTAAGGGTTCAGGAATCCAAAATTTTGAGGAGGTAGTTAATCCTTACCTGAGGATATTTTTCTACTGATAATTAGAGATAGTGGAAGGAAGGGAGAGAGGCAGAGAGAGAAACATCAATGTGAGAGAGACACATCTATTGATTGCTTCCTGCATTCCCTGACCATGGCTGGGGATCCAGCTTGCAACTGAAGTACGTGCCCTTGACCAGAATCGAACCTGGAACCCTTCAGCACACAGGACGGTGCTCTATCCACTGAACCAAACCAGCTAGGACAGGAATTCAATTTTTAATGTCTCAAATGGTATAATAAATACTGGTCAGTTGCGTATTCATTTAACTAATAGTATTCGGAGTGCCTAATACTATAACAAAAAGACATAAAAATATATTGGAAACCAATAAAATGCTTAATAATTATTTTACCAACTAAATGGATAAATGAACAAATGATCAAATATTTTAGCCATGTCACCAAAATAACTTCACCAGAATCATAATCATCACTGTCAACAGTAATAGCAGGTAAGGCTGGAAAACATCTAGGAGTTTACAAAATGCTTCAGCCAAGTCCAGGATGGAGCCTGTTACAGACACTCCTGCCCCTCCTTTTCTTTCAGAGTAAGACAATGTGCCTGGGTACTTGCCTTTCCAGAATTCCGATACCATTTCCCAGCTCTCTCTGCAGCTATGTGAGGCCAATAGTCTGTGAGCAAACATGGGGTGCACAATCTCTGAGGTCTGCTCTAAAGACAAAGGGTATACCCACCATTTGCCCTTTCCCTCCCTCTTCCTGTCAGCTGAAGTGCTGATGTGACAATGAGCCATTTTGGACCACATGGACAGGGTGACACTACTGAGATGGCAAGGGAACAAAAGAGAAGGGGCTGGGATCCTGAAAATCCACGGCGCCATCTTATCAGCGCTGGGCTGTACTTGCTCAGATTGTTACATGAAAGAATGAGGCTTCTATCTTAGTCAAGCCACTGTTGTCATGGCTCCTTGTTACAGGAACTGACAACTTAACCAATAAATTTAACTCCTCAGAACAATCCTGGGATGCAAATAATGTGCGATATTTTCCTTATAATTCCTTATTATGTTTCTGTTTTAAACAGCAGGAAAATAAACTGGTAGCACAGCCTTGGTTTATATATTTATATCTATCAGTGAAGAAAAATGAACTGAAAAGTATTCTGCAAGAACTGATTACAACGATTTTTACAGCAAGGTGTAGGTTCAGGCATCCAATAAACTATAGTGCTCACTACCTAAAAAAGCCACAGGGCGAAGATTTTTCCATGAGAACATGCTATGCACTGATTTCACTCTTATGTGGGATCTAATAAACAAAATGAACTAATAAGCAAAACAGAGCCAGACTCATAGATAGAGAGCAGGCAGACAGCTGTCAGGGTAGAGTTGGTGTGGGTGGAGGGATTGAGAAAAAAAAAAGAGAAATAATAGGAAAAAATAAATAAAAATAAAGTTTCTAGTCACCTTAAAATTCCTGCAATCTATCAAACAGTATAAGTACCAACAATTAGTTCCTTGGCTTCCAGACATGTGTTGCTCATTCACAGTAGGGGGCTTACAGGAGGCAGTGATCAATGATTTTCTCTCATCACTGATGTTTCTATCTCTCTCTTCCTTTCCCTTCCTCTTTGAAATCAATTATATATATATAATTTTTAATGCAATACCTGACTATTTAGTCAGGGGCACTGACCTCTTTTCACTCAGACTGTCAAATAAAAAAATGACAACAGCCAGCGCAATAGCCGTCCGATGTGAATGAATCAAACATATACCCTTTTTTTTTTTTTTGTCAGATCAGGAAAATGATATTTTTTGTTGTGTCACAGAATTTTAGCAATTCATTTATGTGTGCCATGGCATGAACAAGTTGAAAATCACTGGTCTAGATAATTGTGTATATATCCTTATATACATCAGCAGGGCACTCCATGCAATTGGAACGGTTTTGTACTGTTAGTATTTAAATACTGGTACAGAATTGTGTTAGGAAAAGTAGACGACCAGTTCAAATGCAAGCAAACATACTTTAAAGCAGTGGTTTTCAACCTTCCTAATGCCGCGACCCTTTAATACAGTTCCTCATGTTGTGGTGACCCCCAATTTCACTGTTACAAATTGAACATAATTAAAGCATAGGGATTAATCACAAAAACAATATGTAATTATATATGTGTTTTCCGATGGTCTTAGGCGACCCCTGTGAAAGTGTCATTCGACCCCCAAAGGGGTCGCGACACACAGGTTGAGAACCTCTGACAAAGGATACATAACTAAAAAATGGATTATGAAGAACAAGAGTATTTGTCACTATTTACTATATTTCTGCACTTAAAATGTAAACTTATTTTCATTCAGTTGTTTTCAAGCTTCCATAACCATTTAATTAACTAAAACCAGAGAAATCCTTTGTAACAGCTTTTGACTATTCACTTACAGATCCTGAGGTTTGCTAAAATGACTTTCTAAATCAAAACCAATAAAAAAAATATGATCAATCTGTATCTGGTACAGTGAAAAGTTTATTTCCCCAAGTGACTTAAGAACTCAAATAAGAATGTGCTCACTACTTGGCAGCACCCCAGTTACTTGGCCTCTGCAACGCTAAGGATAGCTCAGGCCTGCATGCGTAAGCACTGACACCTACAGACACAGTTCCGAGGTTCAGAGGTAGACGTGCCTCCAAATCTGCTAACTGTGTTAGTGTCATTCTGGTGGTGTTTACTCAGGTGATGCTTACAAAACAGAGAGCTCAAGCATACTTAATTGTTTTAACCTGACTTTTATTACACGCTGAAAGAGGTGATGTCCATCAGTACTTTAAAATGTGGAATCCAAGCATTTTTCTAAAACCTTATGGTAGTCGATATTTTTACATAACGAGTTCTAATTCCTCTGGACCACTGGTTCTCAACCTTGGCTGCACATTAGAATCACCTGGGCCTCATCCTCCAGAAATTCTGTGTCTTTGTTATGGGGTGGGGCCACAACATTAGTAACAAAGAAACAGAATTTCTGAAGGATGAGGCCCAGAAATCAGGATTTTAAAAAACTTCCCAGGTGATTCTAATGTGCAGCCAAGGTTTAGAACCACTGCTCTGGAAAAATACTTCCCTATTCCAAATATGGAACACTGATATGTCTCTAAATTGCACTGCTCACCTCTTAAACGATAAAAAGATATGGGCATTGCATAAAAGGACCTCTTCATCCTTAATGCTGTGTTTTAAGGCAAGAAGCATAGATATAAGAAGGCAGAAAAAGTAAACTGTCTAGGTAAAAGCATAAAATAAAGTATTACCTTTAGCTGGGTTTACTTTTATCCCTGACCTATACAGCATTTCCTCATTCTGCCAGTCTCCATTCCTGATTGCAGTCTTGAGTCCATAGAAAACAATTAATGTAGCTGTAGCATAAAAAATCAAGCTCTTGAGAAACCGCTTCTGGACTCTGACATAAAGGGCTCTGGCACCCACTGTAATGAGGAGGCAGAAGCCCATGCTAGGAATATACAATACTCGCTCTGCAATTACAAAGCCGACATAGAAAAACAGGTTCGTGGCAGGAACAAAGGGTATGATTAACAAAGATAAAGACAGTACAACAATGTTCTCTGTAGAAGGAAGTGGTGTTGTCTGTGGTACATTATTTTTAATGCCATTTTCTACTTTGGATGCAAAGCTGGGCTTAATCTCTGAGTTCCGGTATTCCACATCTGAATGGCAGCTATGTCCGTTTGCATTCTGCTTGCCATTTGTTACAAATTTCCCATAGTATTCTCTTTCCACGCTTGGGCTCTTTAAACCACAGTAGGCAAGAAGGAGGAGTCCAGTATAGAAGGCCACAGTGTGTAGGTTTCTCCAATCACAAACTGTTTTGAGCAGAGGCACGGCATCCATTGACCAATCAAAACTGAGGGTATCAGGGCAGAGTAACAGCCAGAGGTTCTTGGTTGGCAAGTAGAAGAAGGTGAGCGTGCGAGCCAGGAGACTATCAGAATCAGCAGCTGGGTTGTCAGAGTTGGAAAAGCTTGGTGGTTTGTTTCCCATCCAGTATAAACGGGCACCCAAAAGGGAAGTCCCCCAGAGAGTTAACAAACTAATGCTGAGGAAAAGAGACAAATTCTTCCCCTGAAACCAAAAGAGAGGGGGGGAAAAATTAAGATGATCATCAATACAGCATGGTGACACTTCACTTAACATTAGAGATGAAATACATTTTTAAATGGGCAGTTAACACAGCATTATGTCTTAAATATATGACTTCATCCACCTCCTTTTTAAACATGTTTAAAAAAATTTTAACCTAAAAAAATTGACTGTGGAATCCTACTTTGTATAGAACTTTTGGTGAAGTAGTTTTTCTTCTCCTTCCTTTTCTAACGTACCAATAACCAAAGCTTCAACTTCTTGACGTCTACAAAATGAGTTGTATATATTTCCTTCTTGGAATTAGCATCAGGTCAAAATAAGACAACAATGTGAAAGTACTTATTCTTAGTAGGCATCTAATAACTGAGTTCTTTCATTTTATAATTCAGATACCGGGGGAAAACAAAGAACAGTCATGACAAAAAAAAAATACATGGGGAGAACAGGATTCCATTCAGCTCGAAAGTAGGAATAGCATTTCGCCATGTCTATGCCAGTCCTGACTTCATTGTCTTGAATATCCTTGCAGAATTTATAAACCAGGCTTTCACCTGTACCCCAGGCTGCCACTGGCATCAGTGACATCAACCATTTAACAACATTCCTCACGAATGTGAAGTTTTTCACGTTGATGACAACTTTTTAGGAATACAATGACTTTAAAACAAACTTATTTTGTGAGAAATAAAATGGTGAGATGAAGGCAAAAGGACATCCTTGTTAATGAGAATATTGTGGCAAACTTTTTCAATCTGAATAAGAATTTAGTGACCTCAAACAATCTAAGTCCTGAGAATGAAGAAAATATTTGCAAATAATACATTAATATCCAAAATATATACATAATTCATACAACTCAAAGAAAAAAAAACAAATACAATTACAAAACGGTCAGAGGATCTGAATAGACATTTTTCCAAAAAAAGATGGCCAATAGGTACATGAAAAGATGCTCAACATCACTAATCATCAGAGAAATGCAAATCAAAACCACAACCAGATATTGCCTCACACATTTCACAATGGCTATTATCAAAAAGATAAGAAATAACAAGTGTTGATGAGGATGTGGAGAAAAGGGAAACCTTATGTACAGTTTGGTGGAAATATAAATTGGTGCACCCACTATGGAAAATAAGCATGGAAATATGCCTCATTAAAATTGAATTACCATATGATCCAGCAATTTCACTTCTAGTTATTTATCTGAAGAAACTGAAATTACTATGTCAAAAAGATATCTTGCATCCCCATGTTCACTGCAGTATTATTTATAGCAGCCAAAACACGAGACCATCTCAAGTGTGTATCAATAGATGCATATATATATATTCCATATATATATCAAATGGAATATTACCCAGCTATAAAAAGAAGGAAACTCTGCCATTTGCCACAACATGAATATACTTTAAGGGCATCATGCTAAGAGAAATCAATCAGACAGAGGAAAAAAAATACTGTATTATCTCACAGGCAGAATCTAAATAAAACCCCACAAACTCACATATTCAGAGAACAAATTGATGGGTGGCTGAGATGGGGGAGGGATGTAAAGGGCCAAATGGCAAAGGTGGTCAAAAGGTACAAGTTCCAGTTATAAGATAAATAAGCCTGAGGATGCCATGTATGATGTGGTGATTACAGTTAACAATACTGTATTATTGTATATTTGACAGTCTATTGAGCAGACCTTACAAGTTTGCATCACAATAAAAAAATAAAATTTTTGTAACTATGTGTTACAAAACTTAACTTACTTGTGGTAATCATTTCACAATATAAACATACATCAAATTATTATTTTGTACACCTAAAACTAATATAATGTCTATATTAATTATATCTCAATTAAAAAACAATCCACAAAGAGCAATATATCTTGAGCATGCACAACTTCCATTATAACCATGCTATATTATAAGCAACTGCTACTACACTGTCCTTCCCAGACACTTCTCATTCACCTCTCTCACTGCTAGAAGCCACAGAACTGGTCCTAGACTATCTGCTCTATCTCCACTCTGAACCTAATGATCTCAGCAAGATTCATGATTTTAAAATTATTAATATTTCCTAATAACTCCATCTCCCTTCACCTCCATAATCCTTCATTCAATTGTATGTTGAGCATATACACTTAGGTACCTCAACGCAAAATGTCCAATATACAACTTGACTTCCTACCTTCTCCAATGAAACAGTTCCTCTCCAATCATTACACCTGAGATGATGGTAATACTATGTAAGCAGTTTCTTCTTCACAACCTCTCTCCTTCCCTCTACATTCCATGCATTACACCAAGTCCTCTCACTTTCACTTCAAAATATATCCTGATGTGTCCATTTCCCTCCATCTCTTCTGTCATCACTCTAGTTCAAAATCCCAAGACTTGGATGATCAGATTAGACTCCTCCTAACTGGTAATCTAACCCTTTCCAACACAGATAAGTGTTCCCAAATTTTAAAATCATTAATGGGAGCTTATTCTAAGACCTTAGAAGTTTTTATCTTTACAAAACAAAGTTTATAATTCATTGAGCAGTTTTCTTGATGTCCACTTTTATATTTCAAAATTATTTTGAACAGTATTTTAGGTATTTAAAAAGGGGTAATTCTGGGTATAAAAGACAAGGAGCAAAGGGAGATGAGGTTAGAAGTTAAAAATTCAGAATAAGAAAAATTAGAAACAACAAATAAATGGAAATTTTAAGAGGTGGGATTGTTGGTTTATATCAAATCACAATAATGCTAAATTCACAGAATTAACTGTCTCAGTGTTTTAAAAACTTCTTTGGTGGACCTGGCTGGTTTGGCTCAGTGGATAGAGCATCGGCCTGTGGACTGAAGGGTCCCGGGATCTATTCTGGCCGGGGCACATGCCTGGGTTGCAGGCTCAATCCCCAGTAGGGGGTGTGCAGGAGGCAGCCCATTGATGATTCTCATCATTGATGTCTCTCTCTCTCTCCCCCTCTCCCATTCTCTCTGAAATCAATAAACATATTTAAATAAAAATGAAAACTTCTGTGGCAGACCTCTGCTCAAAATTAACTTTTGTAATGCTATTTGGAATTTTTAATGGCAGGGGAATAATATGTTCAGTCATCACGAATCTTTAAATTTCAGGTCTCTGCTAGAAAAATGAAATGATTCAAAGCCTCTTTATCATCTAAAAGTAACTTTTGCAAACCATTACCTTGGCTCCTCTGAAATTCTACACAACAAAAAGCTTAAAATTTCTGGATTATAGGAGAAAAATTAAAACACACAAAACCAAATGTTAAAAGTTGTAAATAACTTGATGGATCAAGGACATAATTGTGTAGTCTTAGATTCTAGAAAGGAGAAACATATCATTTGGCAAAAATAAATAAGAAAATAGATCATGAATAAAGAAGACTGAACTTGAAAATAATTCAATTTTGAATTTGTACCAGAAGTCCATTTTCAAAGTGTAACTAAAGACCTTGTGTTCTTGGAGCTTCATATATCCTATTCCAGAAAAACACATCATGAGGAAAAGAGCCATAGGGGCTTAAAGGACAATGTTCAAACCTGAAGGACCATCCATATCAACTGTGAGCTTTTAAAAAGACCAGTGCCATGGTCTAACTAAATTCTCCATAGGGGATTGGTTCTAATGCAGCTGACTTTGAGAATCACTGCATATTCGTACGAGTCTAATTCTTAGTGATACTAAAAATACTGTTGGCCGATGGCTTTCATTTCACGAAGTTTTAAAGCTTCTCTTCCTCAATCTAAATGAATAAACCATAATGAAATGTAATGTTTCCTCCCAAGCGCAGGGCAAAATTGAATTCTTAGTATAATGGAGTGGTGAGCATCATGAAGGTCAGGCTACAAAGGAACTGAGATCATTGTAATAAGTAGAACTCAAGGTTGAAATATTTAAGTGTTGTTGCACTATACAGAAGACAGAGGATTTGTTCCCGGGGGCGGGGGGGAGTGGTGGGGGGGCAGAAAATAGTCTTCTAAATATGAATCACAAAAAGCACATAATCCAGAGAGGAAATTAAGGAAAAGGCAAAAACATTTGAAAAAATGTTCAATTTCCTTCATCAATAAAAATGAAAATCAAACTGAAAAAATACATTTCACATGAATCTAAGTGGGGGGAAAAGAGAAATGGAAAAAATTGGATCTCTCCCTCACTGAGTGACTTTGGGTAAATATTGGGTAAATATAAATTATAGAGTTTTGGTGAGAAAATTAGAAGTATTTAGAAAAATTAATACTTTGTATCCCCTACTATTTGATAATCTGGACTCAGTTACCTATTCTCTAAAAAGAAAATCTTAGATCTAAATATAAGGACATCTAATTCATCACTATTTATAAATGCAAAAATAAGAAAATAGCTAAAAATTTCAATAGAGCAATATGAAAATAAACCATGGTATATCCATATCTTTTGAATATATAATGCAACTAAGAGGAAAAAGATACTTTTTTATAAAATATCATAAATAAATACAAATAGACATAAACTGGCTTTATGAAAATCAAATTTTTCTAAATGTTTAAATATGCTTTTCATCCTTTTAAAAATTCTTCTTTAACATAAAAAGGGAAATCAGCCCAAATCTCCATTTTGTTGAAAATAAAACAAAAACTGTATCTTTCTTTTTTTTTAAATTACATTTCATTGGGGTGGCATTGGTCAATATGCACATATAGGTTTCATGTGTGAATTTCTAAGTTACAAAATTACAAAATTTTAGAGGGATTTTTCTGGAACTGTCAGAAACAGAAAATCATAGGATGGAAATCAGCTAAGAATATAATGTTCATGGTTGACAATTTCATTTCTAGTCTTTGGGTACATTACAGAAATTTAAAAAAAAACACCTACTTATGAATCAGCTAATAATGTGACATTTACCATAAAACATCAAAATCTTTCCCACACATTACCTGAAAGATGAAGTCAAGGCTCTGGGAAGACCCTGCCATGTTA